CCATGCCATGGCCCGTGCATACTTCTTCAGCAGAGCCACCAGTCTGCTCTTCTGCTCGGGTGTCAGATTCGAGCTGATAATGACCGGGAGCTTATTCCTCTCCCTGAGAAATGCATACTCCAGGTGAGAGGGGAGGGGCTTAAGCTCTGGTGGCTCCTCCAATGATGTGGCGATCCGGGGAGAGATATGGATCAACTTGAATGCCTTCTATCGCCCCTCTATCGCAGCTTCTTCTAGCTCTGCAAACTGCTCCTCCAGTTGCAACTCCTGCGATGCCTGTTCCCCTAGCAAAAGACAACGATCGAGCAAATCGTCAGTACCCACACTCGTGATGGCGAGTGCGGTATCAAAATCAGCAATAACATTGTAGTAATCCAGATCATCTTGGGCTGGGGGTGTTTCATATTATTAGAAACAGAGAAGGCGATTTGTTCCAACCCAGCCCTCAAAATTGATTTTCCATCATTCACATTGATAAGCGCCTTGGCGGTGGCGAGAAAAGGTCTACCCAGAATTAAAGGTGCCTCCACATCCTCATTTATATAAAGAATAACAAAATCATTAGGATATGAAAATGTCCCTACTGCGACTATCAAGTCCTCTACAATGCCCCTAGGATGCACAATGGACCTATCAGCTAGTTGAATGCTCATCATAGTATTACTGGGTTCACCTAGGCCTAGCTTTTTAAATAGTTTATATGGCATTACGTTTATGCTAGTGACTAAATCCGCCAAGGACTTCCCTACATGCAAACTACCAATCATGCAATGGATAGTAAAACTCCCTAAGTCTTTGCGCTTCTCTGGTAGCTTGTTCTGCAGGAATGCAGAACACTCCTTGTTGAGCATCACTGTCGACAGCTCCCCAAGCTTCCTCTTGTTGGTGAGGAGATCCTTCATGAATTTAGCATACTTGGGCATCTTCGTCAATGCCTCCACGAAAGGTATACTGATGTTCACCTACTTCAGCATTGCCATAAACTTGGGAAGCTCAGTCTCCAGTTGGTCTTTGTGCAACCGAGTAGGAAAGGGAAGTTGAGGGACGTACCCCTTCACCACTTGTTGTGGCTTAGGAGTAGGCACCTCAATGTCCTTCTCCATGTCTTCTTCGTTAGCTCGAAGTGCTGAAGCAGGTTTCTCTCTCTCCTGTCTGGCCTAGACAGGTGGATCTGTAGTCACTTTCCCACTCCTGGTAGTAATGGCCTGGCAGTGTTCATTTGGGTCCTGTAGATGGGGAATGGTCTGACCGGGTAAAGTACCCGAAAGCCTTTATGCTACAGCATGTGCCACACTCCCGAGATGGGTCTGGATATCCCGCAATACAACCTGCGTGTTTCTTTGGCCAACTTCAAGCTCCAGAAATTTACCTGAGGCTTTCTCCATGAACTGCTCGATTTTGCTGAACTTATTAGCACTAGAAGTGGCCAGAGAACCCACCAGATCTCACAAATCGGCCATAGGATCGCTCCGTATTGGGACTACGGGAGCTGCACTTGGCTGCTGAAATGGCCTCATCTGTGATTGAGGAAGATTTTCCCCCTCTCTGGGTGGATAGAGAGGCTGCTGTTGTTGCTGGAATTGCCCTTGTCTTGGCTGGTAAGGAGGTATCTAAAAGCCTGGGGGTCCCTGGGAGACTTGTGGCTTAGGATTATTTCCACTCCAGGAGAAGTTGGGATGCTGGCGCCACCCCTCGTGATAAGTGTTGCTGTAGGGGTCGAAATGCGTGGCATTGCCGATGAAGTCCAACTGCTCCTAGGGTGTAGTCGACTCTCTCATCGCCTGATAGTCTTCTATAGTATGTTGAGAGCTCTCGCACCACTGAAAATGCATCACCTGCTATTTTCCTGTCCCTAGAACCATCTAGTACGATTGATGGCCGAGACCAGCTTATAAACAACCTGCACCAAATTAGATGATTGGGTGTCCATAGCCTGTACACCCCGTCCTGGTACTTGCCTCGACCTTGTAGTTGTACCCCAATCATATCCTTGCTCTGCCATCTCCTCAAAGAGGCGATTTAATTGCAATGGCGTCTTGGTCAGTATGTTCCCGCCACAAACCAAGTCAATCAGCTGCTTGTCTTCAGGGAAGAGGGCGTGGTAGAAGTTGCCCACCTAGAAGGCGTCATTGAAACCATAATTGGGACACTTCAGGAAAAGATTGGTGTATCTTTCCCAAGCACCTCGAATGGTTTCATCTTCCTCCTGGGCAAAATGAGCGATTTGCTTCTGCAGGTCCGCCGTCTTCGACGGAGGATGATAGCGGGTGAGGAACTTGTCTGCCAGGTTGGCGAACGTAGTGATCGATCCCGAAAGGCGAGTGTCCAGCCACTCCTTGGCTTGCCCTCCAGAGTGAATGAGAAGTATCTCAGCTGAATGGCATCGATAGGGACCCATTTATCTTGATCCCATCAATAAACTCGTGGAATCACCGAAGGTGCGATCTGGGACACTCCCCGTCATTTCCACGGAATACCACCGAGTCGTCCAACATGGTGATGGCAGAGGTACTCACCTCAAAGTTGTTGGCAGCAACTTGAGGGTGCTGGATGGGGGACCTCATGTCTGCGGAGTGGGCAGTCCAGTAATAGCCCATGGTATGCTCCTCGGGAATAACCACGTCATTGTTCTATGGTTCACCCATTTCTTCCCCCTCGGTGATGTGAAGTTGCTTCAAAGCTTCCTCCGTAGCCAGTCGTGCCTTCAAAATCCGCTTGAGTTTACGACATGTTTGTTCAATTTCCTGGTCCACTGGCAGTAGATCTCCCAACTGGCTACGGGTCATGTACTACCTGCACGAAATCAGCAAAAGCAGCCCGTGAAGGCACACAAGTGGAAGAGAAAAAATACAGTAAAGTAAATGCTAAAGTAACAGACTTTCACTTTTCTACAAAAACCTAAAGTCCCCGGCAACACCGCCAAAAACTTGACACGTTAAAACACAAAACCAAACTACGACCAAGTATCAACTCGGGGTCTAGATCTATTTCCTACTCCGTGATTATCTATTATCTAGCGGAACTAAGTTTAGTGAGAGTGATTGTAAACAAAAGCAGTAAGAAAGCTGGAAATTGTTCGGTTTTCAAAAGCAATGGGAGAGTCACTCGGGAATGAGTCCCCTATCCCCCTAGCTCCTTAATTAGGTCCAAGTTGTAATTTCCTTTGGTTGATTTACTATTGATTAAACTGCGGAAGATCTGACAGTAGCTTGGAATCTCTTAAGCTGACCAAGCCCTCTCATACAGACTATCCGGCAGGCGACTAGCCTTCACCGGGATAGACTGCTGGGGAAATTAACACAGAACTCCACTACTGGAATTGGATTCCAGTACAAAGTAGTTAATCGACTAACTCTCGTATAATCAATTCACTACTACCGATTGAAGAAGCTCTAGCAACCTAATTAGATTCTATCTATCTCAGGTTGCAACAGAAATCAAAAGAAGTTGATCAGGATTAAATTGAATCAATAAGCACACCTCAATCGATTAAAATCAATCAGTATCTCAAACCAAATGTCATTACAAACATGATCCCTAACACATGGAACTAGGGTTCTTCATACCCAAGTGAGAGAGAGTTATACTCCATAGAGAGAGAGGAAAACTTAATACAAAGCAGTCGTACTCATAATGATGGGAAAAATCTGCTCTGGGGTGATAATCTTCACTCCAAGAACGAAATCCAAGTTTGTTTGATGAAACCTAGCTCCAAAATCAATCATAGGGTTTGTTCTTTGCACTTTCTCGCTCTAGGACTCTGTTTCTGCTCTGAAAATTCGTCTCCCTCTTCAAAGACCCAAAATTGGGTTAAAACCCAGAATTCCACGACCACATGGCCGTGTGAAATCCCCAGATTGCCCGTGTGAAGTCCCAAAATGCGCCGTTCGATTTAGTGACGGAGGGTGCGCTACACGGCCAGAATGGCACGGCCATGTGGAATTCCAGCCAGCACGTGTGAAGTCACTGGAAATCCCACACGGCAAAAAGGAGTCCTTACACGGCCAGTGTGGCCTTGCCCGCGCAAAGGAGTGCCACACGGTCAAGCCACACGGTCGTGTGGCAATCTGGTCAGGTTGTGTGGTTTCCTCAACTTTTCGTCAAACGTCCCAACTTCGTCCAATCGACCCCAAACTCGTGCCCAAACCTTCATTCACGTACTAGGAGGTGAAATATCACAAACAAGAAGAACCTAGCGTGAAATCAGTTTAAAACACAAGAAAATGAGACTCAAATAGTATTAGAATGGTGGACAAGAATATGTGTATATATCTAGTAATCAATTAACTGCTCAACTCTTGCAATCTATATTTGAATGAATGCAAAGGGAAGTAAATACGATGGGTTGAGGTTCTCTAATATTTGGTTAACACTATATTATCTAGACTAGACGCAAAATTATAAAGCAAGATAAAAGATATTGTTTAGGTTGTTTCATCTAGACTCAAAATACTTTGCAATTTGGACCGATTCGGGTTGGGTCAGAACCGATTGGTCCAACTTGGTCTTAACCAAGGTTGACTGGGCTTGATCTCAAGCCTCTTATCTCTCTCGTCCTCTCCTCTCTTTAGAGAGAAATTTTACAATGCTATATAGTATTAGTGCTATAGGTTTTTGCCTTTATGGTACAACTTAAAATTGTACATTTACGTTATGGTACAACTTTAGAATGTACTTATACTTTTTGTACAAAGAACTTGTACCTTTATGTGATGGTACAACTTCAAGTTGTAAAGTTGTACCATAACATAATGGTACAAATTGCTTATGGTACAACCTAAACTTATACATTTAATGTTATGGTACAACCTTGAGTTGTACATTAAAGCACCAATGCTATATAGCATAGTAGAAGTGCTTCTTTAGATTGCCTCTTATCTCTGAAACAACAACAACAAAAAAAATACAGAACAAACCCCTCTCTCGATCTGCTTTCTTCCCCTAATTTTCGTCTCTGATACTATCGATTTTTATTCTACTTCTTACCCCTCTCACGTATTCTTTTTCGAAAGCAAGCCAGGGCCACAGATAAAAATGACGATGATGCTCCAGACAACCTCAACTCAACGATAAGTCAAGATTCGAGGCTTGCATGTTCATTTTCTTTCGGTTTCGGGTTCAATAATTATGCTTTGGTATTTTTCTGTGTTTTGGTTTTGGACGAAGGGAGAAGAAAAAGGGGCCACCAGCTGTCGTGCGTCTCGCCATCGGCGAAGGAAGATCCACTGCTAGACACGACAAAAAGAGACTGGGTAAGTCTACTTTTTATACTTTGAATTCAATTATGGCTCCCTTGTTAATTTCTAAATTTTCATTTTTTGCTTTATCTTTATACCGATTTTGAATTTGTGCAGGCTCCCTAATTTGAGATTCATTTGGGTAATTTCTCTTAAACTCGATTTAGCAAAGATTAGAGAATTTACATGAAAATGGATCATGAGGTGGATTTGACATGGATTCGCAGATTTGAGTTTTTTAGGAGAAATGTTGTGTTTGTATTAATCTGGATTTGGAGGTTTATTTGGTGTGTTTTCTGAAAATAGATGAAAAAGGGTTTGATTGTTGGTTGGAAAATGTCGATTGGGGATTGACTCGCTCCGAATATCACAATATAATCACAACTAAGGCCAAAGTATAAACCTTAGATGGATGCAATATAGGACAAGTATTTTTAAATATCAACCCAGGCCGGTCCATGTACCCCTACTTCAATTGTTCGAAACATTATCTAGCGGAATGTTGTTTGTTAAAATCTCTACAATCTACTATTTAAAAGTAAGACTTGAAAAGTATAAGGGTGGAAAACTCTTGGTGAGAAGCTTCACTTGGGAGTTGCTTCCCCCTAACTAACTACCATGAACCGTGGGATCGAATGAACCGGTGTGTGACAAGGCCATTATGACCCGTAGGAGGTGCAACAATGGTTAGAAATCATCCTCTCAATTGCTATGCCAAGGAAAGCATTATGGGCTACAATTGTACCCCTCTTGGCTCAAGCAATTGAGGGTTGACTTACCTTCTCCCTCAAACCAAGGTTTGGACGGCATAATCACAATTAACCTAGGTATCTAATTCAAGCTTAGAGGTTTTTGCTACATTAACCTAGTTAGGAGGCATGGAATGCCTAAGAAAACCCAGCTCAATTTGAGTCTCTTAAGATAAGGGGGCTTCTCTCTAAGCTAGGTTAGAATAGCACAATAGATTGCTAAGCACACAATGCACAATCACCATGAAAAATACCTCAATTCTTAAATTAAACACCACCATCACACAATCATTCAATCCACACAATCAATTACATGATAGAAGTTAGGGTTCTACAACACCCAAGTGAAAAGGGAAACTACTTCATGCTAGACAAGGGAAGAACACAAAGGAAGAAGAAAGAAACCATCATTGTGATGTGGCCAACTCTCCGTGTTTTTGTAGATATCCTCTCTTGAATGGGAACTTCCAAAATCTTCACTTGGAGCAAACCCTAGCCTCTTCTCCCTCTTGGTTTGTGCTTTCTCTCTCTAGGGTTTCAAGAAGAAGAAGGTTTCTCTCACTTTGGGCTCCCCTTTCTTCTTCCTTTCAGCTCTCAATTTAAACACAGATTGCGCCCAGTTCATGATCCCAGTTCATGGCCATGAACATCAGGCCGGGACCACGAACACAAATCAAAATACGTTTCTTAAGTTATGGAATTCATGGTCCATGGCTGCAGTTCACGGTCTTACAATCGTGAACTACCTCAACGTCAGTTTCCTCTGATACTCCTCTGGACTCCCTCCAGTTCACGGTTTTTGGTTCCAGTTCACGGTCCTGGCGGCCGTGAACTCGAAGCTCTGACCGCGAACTGCCGCTCAATCCTCCTCTTTGCCCGGTCTTTGCGCCTTTTCTTCCAACTTTCGACTCCGAGGTTGGTTTCACTTTTTAGAGCTTGAAACACATTAAAACACAAGAAACCTAGCGTAAAACCACCCTTTTAGGAGCTCAAATGCCACAAACGCCAAAGAGAAACAGGGATAAAAAGTGCACATTTAAGCCCGAATCACTCCCCCACACTTAAAAGTTTACTTGTCCCCAAGCAAACCATTTCACACAAGGTAATATCTCAATCTAACAAAATACTTCGGTGACAAATCAAAGGGCACAAAGTGGCGAATCTCAATAGATATTGGCAATTAACACATGGACCGTTGCAAGCAATACTGGCATCCACCAGAAATGACATTTGAGGTCAACAAAAACGGGCAAGCGAAAAGTTCTCGCCTTGTTACTGTATCAATGCAAGTCTCAACAAGATCACTTATGAACCAAAACTAACCATGCATAACACTCAATTCCAATGAACAAACGAATGGGAAACAAAGGTCCTCACCGGGGTATGATATGGCATGCAAAACAAGAATGAATCACTCACTCTCTTGACAAGTGGGGTCGGGACCATTTGGTGCAAAGAATGTGCACAATCATTGAATCGCACGAAACTACACCTCAAATTAATCCCGACTAGAGCCCTATTTTGTAAACTCTAGCCGGGTGCAGTATAGGGCAAGTATTTAATTGTCAAACCCCGGCCGGTCCATGTACCCCTACTTAACCCCCGAACACACATGGGCATTCGATCCTTCAATTTGTAATTGCTAGCTAGGGGGAGCAACACCCTAGTGAACTCTTCTCTCAATTGGACAACCTCGATTTACTTTACTTGCTTGTTTTCATTTGTAGGTTTATTAGTTTTAAACCCAAAAACGTTTGCTAGATAACAAACTAAGTGATTGAGATCGGAACACATAGTGTTCGACCCACTACAAGTAAGGTCGATGGCGAATCCGACCATTTCGCAACGGGTCCCCCGATCTCGGGGTGCGGTTACGACAGTGGCGACTCTGACTTTTTGTCCGGGCAACACATCATCGATAAGGATCTGTTTTAGAACGCTGTTACCGTGAATTTAAGTGGGAAATATTAAGTCTATAAGATTAAGCAATAGCAAATCTATAGATGTTGAAATGGTTAAGTGTGCTTTTGGCTTTTTAGTTTCGACTAAACAAGATGTCACTTGTCGAAGTTAAAGTTTAGCAATTTGCTAACTCTAATTGACGTGATTAATCAGTTGGATGTTGGATTTGGAAGTTAAGGCTTCAATTCTTTTGAACAATAAAACAAAAGCATAAATTATGTTATTAAAGTCTCAATAAATAAAAAATTACAGTTACAATAAGCAAAACTAAATAATAATTACAATCACGAATGCTAAATAACTTTTACATTTCCAGAATTTAGTAAGTCCTGATAAACAAGTTCAAAGCCCAACCAACTTTGATCCAACCCAATACAGTACAGTCAGGCCCAGCCTAGGCCCAAAATCAAGTCCTGTCAACCTTGGTTAAGACCAGGTCAGACCAATTGGTTCTGACCCAACTCGAATCGGTCCAACCCAATCCACAAGTTACTACGCGACACCTACATCTCCACAAAACCAATTATATTGTGCCACCACACCAGTATTTTTGCTATAAAAGAGTCCTTCAACTCTTGGAAAAAGGGTACAAGATCAACAACCATAATTCCCTGACTGACCCCTGCTTCTTACTAAGTTTCTTTCTTCTTTCTGTCTCTTCCTCCATTTGTCTTCTTCTCCCTCTTACTCAAAACACACACACAGAAGCCAAAAACTAAAGTCCAAAAGGGACAACAAGAAAACCCTCGCCACAAACATCCTCCCACTGTCGCGAGCATCAGCAAAAAACAAAGGAGAAGGAGACGACAAAGGAGGGTCAGAATCATGATCAAACAACAAGTGTTAATGTTGGAAGCGAGGTCAAAGCCCAACCATAATCATCTTAACCATTCATCATATTTAACCATCTCATTATAAGTTTTTTAAGTACAAAACTCAATCAACCCCAATCAAATTACAAACAGACCAAATTAATTTGAAAGGGCACCAACCTCAATCAATCCCAGTCAAATTAAAATCTAACTCAAGTAAATCTTAAAAGACATTATATTCATTCATTCCAAGCAAATTACCTTAATAACGATAATCGATAAATCAGATGTATTGATTTCTTTACAAGTTCCTTATATTCCATTTTTATTAACATTTCAGCTCTTGTGATTTATTTCGGTATTTCAACTCAACCAATTCACCATTACCATCATCTACTTATGAACATTCATCTTTCTATTTAAATCTCTTTTTTATTTAAGCACTCACTATTATCGTTTCATCTCTTTACTATGCATTTATACTATATCACATATATGTTACACCCGCTAGTAGGGGTGACATCGGTCGATTCGGTCCAAGACCGGATCAAACTATCCTCGGACCGGACCAAAATTTCTTCTAAATCAAGGACCAAAGTCGAATCGTTATTACTTCGATTCGGTCCGGATCAAACTATATATGACTCAATTCGGTCTGGACCATTTCATTGGGCCGACTAATCTTTCATTAGAATAAAATCACTCTTAAAGGACAACACAACAATTAAAAAAATATAACTACATAAAAAGAAGTAATCAAATTATCCCAATTTGAATACTTCACAATTCATAAAACCAAATGTTCCAAAATATTATGCAAAAAGCTAAAGGAGAACTACTTAACTAAAAGACAAAAGTCTTTTTATTCAATCTCAAAGTAGTCTAACTAATCTTCCATTTTCATTTCCAGAGTGCACGTTGGACCTCCCAATCTCCATAATTTCCATTGTTCATTAGAAAGGAGTTTATCAAAATGACACTTACTCGAAGAACTAGTGCAATAAAACAAAAGATTCTTAAACTTGCTAATTTGCAGTGGTGTTGTCGGACTTGGCAGAAGCATCTGTGGTGGCACTTAACCTACTTATTTCCTCTGCTTCATTTATACTACCCTAACTTTTCTTAAAGTCTAAGCTTTCTACTGCTCCTTGTCACTGTGTAGTAATAGCGTCGACCATTAAAACTAGTGGGGTGGGTTCTCGTGGTACCTTTTTGTTTGGTTACTCGTTGCCTCCTTGTGCTTAGGGTCAAGGACCCTAAAATCCTTCCATTATCATAGCTACTAGCGTCTAATGATTGTAGCTCTTTCTTCGGAGATTCATATTTTCCCAGTTGTTTGTTTTTGCTTATTAGATCCTCCCCTTGTTACCTAGTAGTAGAATCCTCGTACTACTCATTCAACTCCTTCAAAATCCAAGGGTATTTCCTTACGATAGGTACCTCATCTATCATCACTACAACAATAAGCACTTTCAGCGACGAAAAATTTCGTCGCTAAAAGTCGATAATTCGTCGCTGTATGTTTTCTGCGACGAACAAGAGCGTCGCCTAAGAGAGTGTCCTATCGGCGCATATACCGCGTCGCCCTAAGGGTATAGCGACGAAATTATTAATGTCGTCGCTAAAACATGTGTTCGTCGCAAAACGTATTCAGAATAGCGACGATAGAATTTGTCGCTAAATAAATTATTTGCGACGACAGTTTC